GGGGGGGGGACGGGTTACACTGGCCACTCCCTGGAGAGGAGTTTGATAACGTGGACCCCAAACATGCCCATGGCCTTTGGTGCAATTAGCCCACTTTTACAGACTTGGTTGGAGGGTAGACTCACATATACACCCAAAGACTTACAGGAATAATTTTTATTTTAGTATTATAAATAATAGTGAAAAGTAGAAACTAACAAGTGTCCAAAAACAGGGGCTAGCTAGTCAGATACGAGTATATGCTCAGCAGTTGGAAGGGTGTTTAAAGATGTGGGGAAATAATAATCACAACATACTTATAGTGAATAAAGGAAAATAAAAGCCGTTCAGAACACCACCTTTTTAAAGTAGGTGTTTACGAGGGGAAAAAGTCTCTGGCTGGTGGGATTATAAATTATTTCTGCTGTTAATTATTCATTTCTCTATCTTCCAATTTTATAAAGTTAACTAATAAAATCAGAAAAATATGTCTAGAATAGAATTTAAAATTTTAAGTACATGTGGCAGAAGAAAATGAAAATCTTTAAACTAGTACTTCTAAAAACTAACTTATTATTGAGAAAGAAGCAAAACGAATGAAGAGCATGGGAGAGAAAGCCATGGTCATTTGTTGAACATCAGTGAGGCCGCGGCTGGCTGCAGCAGCCGCAGAGGGCACCTAACTTCGGGAGGGCAGCCGAGCTGCCCGAGGCCCCACCGCGCGTGTTATGAGCGCGAAGTGCCCCGGCCGCCAGACCCTCGTTTGGAATTCTGTCTTCTCTGCCAGCCTTGAGGCGGAATATTTTGAAAGCCTTACCTTATACAGCGCCGTTCTGTTGACCAGGTTTTGATAGTAACTATGCTCACAGTGCACCTGCAAAGCTTTTTCAACTTCCACAGTTTTACTAATTACTTGTTTTTCAGCAAAACAGCTGTGCTTACTTCTCCTGATGACATTTAAACTCCATTCATGAGTAAGATTTCTATGAAATAAAGGTTTAAAGATATTTTATAATTAGTACAGGGACTTAGCAAATACCACCTTTGCGTAACCAATGCAACAAAATTTTGTCCTATTTTTGTATAAAGTGACTCATTCATTGATGCCCAAACTCTGCTCTGCCTCATTTTGGTTCAGCATAGCAAGAAATTTAGCAACTGTCATGGAAGGGGGGTAGAAGGGGGTGAAAGAGAAGAACCCGAGCTGTCTAAACACACACATGCACACACCTGAGCACACACAAAACCTTCTGCAGACCATATATTATGGATTTCAAAATAGAACTGTTTAAAACACCAATGATTTTGGTGATAAACAAGCTCAGCGGTCTTAACCGCAGATACCCCAGACAGGAGAGGCGATGGTTTGGTGAGGCCTACAGACACACTCCTGGATTTGTTTTCTGAATGTCCGTATTTCTCAGGGTAGTTTATTGCAACCTTTTTCTCAGCATATTATAATAGGACTTTATGTGCCTCCCTGAGCAAAAGTTAGTTTGAATAGATATTGTTCCTCCTGATTAGAAATTAGAAATGTAAGGAAAAGAAATTTAACAATGTTTCTCAAAGAAAATTGTTTGCACTCTGATGTTTGCTTAAACTGTACATGCAATATGTAGATTCCTATACCAAATACAATAGACACCCATTGTTAAGTTGTCCTGTGTGTATGAAAAATTTGTACCCACTGCAGGCTCTTCCAGTTCCCCTTAAAGTCTACAATAAAATGGAGAAAGACTAGTGTCCGCCGAGCTCCAGGTATTGTCCCATGCGCAGCAACGGAGGCACCACTTTCCTATGGTGAATGACAAGGCTAAACTTCAAGATATGTTCAGTAACTCTCCCAAGTCACACACCTGGCAAGCAGCAGGGCCAGCGCGCACTCTCCCACCTTTTGGCCCTAACGGCCAGGCCAGGCCAGGAGTGCCTGGCGCGAGACTGTGCTATCACGTCGGTGGGAATCTGGCCCTTTCCCTTGCGTAGGAACTTGCACAAGACTGGCTGGGGGGGAGCAGGGGGAGCGGGGCTGGCAGGCTGTCCTAAGGGTTAAAGGCAGTGGGCCAGTGGCCAGGAAGCAGTAGAGAGCTGCCGGGCCTTGGAAAGGACCGAGCCCCGCTGGCAGCATCCTCCTCTCAGGTGTGTCTGTCACGTTCCCTGACTCAGACCTCGCTGTGCTGGGCAGACACAGTCCTGGGTCCCTGTGAAGTTGTTTACGAGGAATGACATGTGTGCACGTTCCCGTATCACCAGGCCCTACTGTTTCCCGCCTCTGCAGTCAACAAGCCCAGCCGGGGGACCACCCCGCGCGGGTTCAAGGCACCGCACCAGACACCGAGCCAGCAGCTCGCCGGGCACGGAGGGGCCCACAGGCTGGTGGGAAGCCGCAGCCAGGGGCCCAGAGCTGTCACCCACCACGCCCAGTCAGGACCAGTCCTCCTGGTGACCCGGAGGGGGGTTTGGGAAGTGCTAGCCCACTCTCCTGAGGCCCCTTAGGACGCCCACCTTGCCGCCTGTCAGCCTGGAGCCTGAGGGGCCTTCTGCGGGTGCTGTTCTTTCCACCTTCATTTCTTTACCTCTATGAGCAAAACTCTCCTGTGTCTCCCTTCTTAGTGGATTTCCTCCTTCAAATTTGATCTGACCGGTGACTTTCAATGCAGGATTAGAGGATTAGTCCCCAGACGTATGTGATCATTAGTAACAGTATCCTGGGAAATTAAAGGACTGCAGTTCTAAGGGGACAATTCCAGGAGCAAGGTCACTGACGAACCCACATGAAACGACAGCCTCACTCACCTGCAGTGGTGCACACGCCCGTGGCGAGCACAAGATGCTGTTATCAGTGGCACTGCATGGAAAAGTCTGTATCTTCAAGACTCCCATTTATTTTCAAAACCACTGTCAAGCCTGCTCTGTCCACCATCACTTAGTCTCATCTCACTCCTCAGCCTCCAGTGCCCCTCAGAGTGGTCACCACAGGCTCTGTGAGCAGCGGGCCCCAGCCTCTCTGGCACTTCCCTCTGCCTGAGGGGCCCACTCCTCTCCCCACGCAGGCTGCACCCTCTGCCTTCCACATCACAGGCAGTTAATGCCCCGTCCCTGTCTGTCTGCAAGCGATGCTGGGACACGACCGGCTCCTCCCTCGTGTGCTCTTTCTGCCCCGTTGAGAACACTGTTCATTTAAATCACGACTTTATTCAACCAGGACCAGGGAGAAGTTCTTTTTCTCTACCCCAATTGTGAGCACTCATCCTGCCTTCCTGTGAAAAGACTAGTTGTGACCCATTTCTAGAATCATCTCTCCTAAAAGGTCACATAAAACTCATTGATTAAAAAAGAAAGAGTTGTTGAATTTCTTTCTACCTCCTGGGCTGTGTACATGTAAAAACAAACCAAAGGCCCTCACTTTCTATAAAACCACAGGGGTGACACTCAGGTTTCACGGTGCGATCTCACTCTGCTTTCGACAACACTGGGGAACGGTTGGGACTCACTCCAGAGGTGCTCATGAAAAATCTACTGAACCTGGCACCATCACCACTCCCCTGGCCCCGGGCTATTTTCTATATGTCAGTCTCAAATCTCTGTAAAACACATGCATACACAGGTACACAAGTACATACGTGAGAACACAAAGGTACCAGATAAACACTGGCACCCAAGTTCTCACCAACAGTCCGTCACACAGAGAACTCTTTTTCCCGGTTACTCCTCCCCCATCTCATCAAATAAAAAGCAGAAAGGGAACCAAGCTCAGTAATAATTGTTGACACATGCAGCTGGTTGCTCTCATTTCACAGAACTACGATTCTGACTCTGAGCATCCTGGCAGTCTCGGCTGCCATGAGAAGACTGTGCCAAGTCCCTTCTGTGCTCCCCGCTCTCAGTGACCCTAGTTATAGCCTTATGACTGGCTGCCACACACACAAATCCTTCACTAGCCCTGCCACTTGGCTCTCAAAACACACCTGAAAACTAGACTAGGGTGTATCTACACCAGTTCCAACCCACTGCCCAGCCCCAGCATCACCCAGGAGGCCGGCACTGCCCTCTGCGCCACACGCTCAGCCGCTCTAGACAACAGGACCACCTGAAACTTAGAATGAATTTCATTCAGTCTTCACTTATCTTTGGCAAGAATCCCCTAAAAGGAAATAATTTTAAGGCAAATCTCTCACCACCTTCATTTCATTAAGATCACTAAGAAACATAAACAAAGGGGCAATATTTAATTTAATTTTTCAATAATGAAGCATTTATCTCATGTTGCACGAAGAGCCGGGGAGACAAAAGGCACGGGCCACCTGCCCCTTCAGACTGTCCCTCTGCTTTGCTGAGCAAAGTCCTGAAGTGCTGGGAAATACGCGAACACGGAGCGCGCGTACTCACCCCATTTGGAGGAAGTAAGCCCCGCTGTCGCCCAACTCCGCTGGCCAGAACTCCAGGACGTGGTCCCGCACGGCGATTCTGGGCGAACGGCTTGAGCTCAGCTCTGCGGGCGCGTGGGGCTCGTTGCGCTTGTACCATTTTGTGGTGGTTGATTTAGTCTCAGGCTTCGATGAAAATGAGCAATATTTCAGAAAGAAAGGTTCCCCTTCAACAGCATTAATGTGAGGACGTACCGTACAGGTTTCTTCAAAAGATTAGCAAAATAAAAGAAAAAATCAAACACAGGTTGGCATAGGTAGTTTCCCAACACTCAGGCACTTCCAGAATATAAATGCGATGAAGCTTCCAGCAGCTTCTCCAAAACAGGAAAGCCACAGGCCTGAGCCTGCCCTAGCCAGAAGACACACAAATGTAGTGTAATCTTTTAAGAGAAAATGTTACGCATGACAACTTCCTCATGAGGGAAGCCACGAAAGACTGCTGCCAACCTTCCCCAAAGCATCCCTAGCTGAGGACGCTCCATCCAAAAGAAAACCATGAGCCTAGAGACTTCATAGTTTGTGATTTGCACCATCAGCAGTCTCACCCATCTGGCACTCAACCAGTCTGCTTAGCCATCCCTGGCAGGTGTGGAGGTCGTTAAAGATGCTCCATCCCGCGCACCGGAAGGTTGCCGGTTCGATTCTGGGTCAGGGCCCATGCCCAGGTTGCAGGGCCGATCCCCAGGAGGCAGCCCGTCGATGTTTTACTCTCACATCCATGTTTCTCTCTCTCTCCCTCTCCCTTCCTCTCTCTCTAAATATAAGTAAAAAATATTTCTTAAGAAGTCGTCAAGCAGTCACTGCTAATAAATTAAAATTGGTATTCAACACCTGCCATAAGCCCTCGACATTCCGAGCCTAAGAAGAGTCTTTCATGTATAGTTGCTTTGACTCTAATATTTTCCTTAGGATCTGTAAGATATTCCCATGAAAGAGATAACTTGCGTAAAATTTTCTAAAAATCAGTAATAAAGACATCTGTGACCTATTCAGTTTCAAACAACACAAAGCAGATTTCCATCTCAGAAAAATGTAATTATTTCAGGATGCAAGTCTTTACAGCCTGCTTTCTCTACATGAACTCAGAGGGCCAAATTTTTCCTTTTCAAGGAATCCACGTGATTCTTTATTTGATCCCATTCCCATGCATTTTTATTCTCTATGCCAGACACACCAAAATTTTGGCAACTCTCTAAAACTACTCATTAATTTTAATGAATTCAGCATCTTCAATAGCCACCTCCACATAAAAAAGCCAAACCTTGGTATCGCTTACCTAAGGAGCTCTTAAACATAAGTACCAAAAGTGCCAGGGGTACTTGTCCCAGATGCATGTTTTAGGATGCTGCTTCAGAAAGTTTTCCTGGAGAACAGAATAAGGCAGGTTCAGCTGAAACTTTCAAATAAAAGCATACTTGTCTCATGAAAAAGGTTTTTAAAAATCTTCTGGCACAAACACTTTTAAAACTGGGCCCAGAAAGTTTTCATATCCCTTAATCTAGTCACCAAGGCTTCTTGGAATTTTCAGGCAAGTAGAATTAATAAAATTTCAAGGCAATGAATTTTGGCATCCAGAAGAAATCCCTAGCAATACACGTTTCTGATACAGGGAGCCTGGTGTATTTTAGGCCGGGCCTACTGAATCTTGTCTCCAAGAAAAAAGTCGAGGACAACTGTATTTGTAGAAAATCTGCTACTCTGTGAATAGACAGCCTGCGACCTGCCCCGCTGTGTTTAACAGCCCCGCCCTGCAGGCGTTCGTGTGCACGTGCGTGTGCTCAGCTGTTTTCTCTCATTCATCTTCTTGCTGCAGAGCGTAAGCTGCAGAAGCTCGGAACTGAGCCTGCTTTTCATGACTGTGTCATCAAGTCCAGCGCAGTGCTCAGTGTGCTCCTCGGTCCTCGCCAGTGAGAGACGGGTGCGGGGGCTGTGCATGATTCTGCACTCGCATGCCGTATGCGTTTATTTTAGGGAAATGGAGAGACAAAGTGGGGATTGCATACATCCCAGGCAGAAACACACCCAAAGAACTGGAATCTGTGTTGAATTTCTATGTTACTCCAACCCAGCTTTGTCCCACTAATTACAAATTTAGAGGGTAGAGTAGGCGGGAAGGCCGTGCTGGAGCACCCACGCCAGGCCTGAGTATTTCACAAGGGCCCCATGTTCCTTTCACAGCGGGCACCAGCCGTGCTGACTGGGGCAGCACAGCCTCACGGGGACAGCCAGGTCCCCGGCCCTGCACACCCGGCTGGCATCCCAGCTTGCACCTTGAGGAGCGGTGGGGCCTTGGGCAAGTCTGTTCGCTCATTCCAAAGTGGAGATGGTGAGAATGCCTAGCTTCAAAATTACCGAGCGATTAAAGGAGCTAAAGTCCATGAAGAGCTCCTGGGTGCATGAGGCCTCTCAGCCCAAAATAATTCTTACTAATTACAGCCCACCTCCCATACTAAACAACAACAACAAACACCTGTTAATGCTCAAATCCTGATAAAAATTAAGGCTAAGCTGCCAAACCACTTACATCGATCTTTATGTTCACCAAGCATTTGATGTAATTTCCAGGAGATAACACTCAATAATGTAAAGACACAAGGGGTAAGTATGTATGGAAAGTACCAACTGTTCATAACGAAATTAGAGCATTTCTATGGTTTGAAATCAGCCTCTCCACACACACGCACACGCACATTTTGTTATTAGCTATCTATTCTCTTATCTAGGGTAGAATAAAAAGTGTTATTTCCTCTGGTTAAATTGACACAGCTTTGTAAAGAGCACTGCTGTTTTCTTGGTTTGAGGTTTTTTTCATATTCAAGGTTTGCTAAGAGATGAAGTTCTTATGAGATAACTCACCATTCTGATGATTTAATGCTGAGTTTCAATATGAAACATGTTAAGATCCCAGTACGCAAATTAGCTGGTATTTGCACCACTCTGTGTGTGTGTATATATAAAATTACTAATGCACTTATTGTGGATTTAAAAGATTAAGACATTAAATTATAAAATTCATTTATAAAAGAAAGGCTATTCTGAGAAACATCATAGATAAGTTAGTTATAAATATATGTAAGAGGATATAAATATTAAATTCCTTGCATGTAGAAATTCTGGGGATTTTTTCAGTGCTATGTTTGATGCTGATACTAGTTTTTTCCTTTACATTATTTAAAAATTTATTTCTTCATTCCTTTCTTTTAAAAAATTTTTCTGATTTCTAAAGTAATGTATGCCAGTTATAGGGCATGTATATGAAAATAATATGAACATGTATACTTTATTTAGCATGTTTTCTTGTACTTTATATATATTTAAATAACTAAGATGAGATTTAAATAATTTCATATCCTGCATTTTCTACTTCATAAGTGAGCATTTTCCTGTGTCACAAAAATCTTTGTTAACATCATTTTGTCACATAATATTCCTTCATATGGATGTTATAATTTACAGCATGTATTTTATTATAAAATAACCCCATAGCCACCTTCTCACACAAGGCAGTTTGGATCAGTTTTTGAAACACGGTGTCTGTTGCGAGACTGGCTAGATTTAAACTCTCACTCTGCTCTTAGTCAGCTGAACAACGCTGAACAAGTTACTTACCCTCTCTGTTCCTCAATTTACTTATCCAAGAAAGGGAATAATAGTACTACTGCCCAGAGCTGGTGCGAAGGTTACATAAATTGCTATTACAAAATATCTGGTGAATCATTTAAATGTTAGTTATTATTATTTATCTACAGTTCTTATTTTCTTGGTGTTACTACATGGCATACAAAGAATACACTTTAAATATGACAAATGCATACTGTCAAACAGCATTCCAGAGATGTGGTAACAATTGATACTCCCTAAATAATGCAAGATAATATTCACCTATCACACCCAAGAAAGTGTTGAAAACTCTCATTTTTAAATCTAATTAGGTATTGAAATTAGTACAATGTATCTATGGTTTTTTAAATATGCATTTCTATGGGTATAAAAAAAAAGCAAAATATTAGTCATGTGTTTTTTTAGCTATTTTCCTTTCTGTTTATGAACTGTCTTTTTATGCCTTTTGTCCCGTTTTTAGATGTTTAGTGTTTCGATGTTTTAACATGTGGAAGATTTTGTCTTTATGCAGTCAAACCTGTCATTCTTTGCTGTGTGATTTTTCCATTACATACTTTAACACTTAGAGCATTCCTTTCCTCTCAGTGGTCAGATAGGTACTTATTGTATTTTCTTCATTTTTATGGCTTAGTTATTTTTTTACATCTAATTTTTTTCATCCATTAACACAAAATTTTCTTGTTTGGTGTGCAGATCGAGTCAGCTTCACTTGTTTTTGCCAGGTAGCTGCTGCTTGCTTCTCTGTGTGGACTAGCAGTCCTGTCTGTCCTGTAGTTTGCTGACACCACAGTTATGCCGCCGGGTGCCCCCTGCGCTCTCCACAGCACACGCGACGGCGTTTGCTCAGGTGCGAATCCACAGGCGTGTGCGCGAGTCCACACTCACACGCACACCCCTCTCTCCCTCCCTGTGGCTGGATTTTTCTATTTATAGCAGTTCGATAACTGACATTATCATTTTCTGTCTGCCTGCTTGTTTATTTGCTGAATTAATGAAGGCATTAAATTAATGAAGGCAAAAATACATGCTTTGGGGAGTCTTAGGTGACTTCCGTCCTTACATCCATAATCTACCCGGGAAATGCTGCTTTAGCAGGACGCCTTGAAAAGTGTGTCTGGCCGGCTGGTGGGAGGTCTGGGCGCTGTCACCTGGCGCCAGGCCTGGAGCCAGCCAGGCATCCTGACCGGTGAAAATCCTCCAGCGGCTCTAACGTGCGGCCAAGGTGGGGAGACGCTGGCCTAGGCGGCTTGTCCGCACACGTGAAAGTAAGTTAATATGCCTTGAGCACATACTGGATAATATTTAGGTGTGTTGCATATATGTGCTTGTGTGTGCGTGTGTATGTGTGCATGTAGGTGTGCTCGTGCACACACGTGCACTTAGAAAACACACACGTCCCTAAGCCGCCAGGCACATGAAGTTTTCTCCGGATGAGAAAGGTTCGCTTTCAAAACCTGTGGCTTGGGGCAGGGCAGCTGCCAGCTGACCACCGTCTGGGGCCCCGAGGCAGTGCGGTCCGGGCCGCCGGGGCCACCTCCTGGCCCGCGCCTGCCGGCCCCTGGCTGGGGGCCC